TTCCAAGCAAACAGTAGCCCCACTCAGTAGCGCACCGTCGCCTCTGCAGCAGGGTTCTTGTGCTCAGCCTGTAGTGACAATCACTACAGGTTGAAGGCGCTTCTGAGCTCACGGTTTCAATTCACGGGTTTGCGAAAACCCATGCCTCGGGTGCAACAATTCGACGCAGAAGATCGAAGTGGGAGGCGCGGTGGCCAGCACCATCGATGGAGGGTCCCGCATAGAGCTTTGTTGTGCGCCACGCAGCATGCATCGGCTCCGGAATGAAGCACGTTGCGCCCGCAGCGTCGCCAGTGTAGAAGACAAGGTTACACTGCAGCGCCTTCGACGCTTCGACCTGCAATTCTGGACACGCTGCCCGTGCCCAAACTCGAATAAGCAAAAACATCTGCGCGCAGTTACAAACGGCCAAGCCAAGCAGGCCGAGGTACCATGTCTGACCATTCCGGCATTTCTGCCGATGCGATGCGTTTCATAGCACCGCTGGACAGAGGCAAGCCCATGGCAAAATCGTTTGTCATCTTGACTTCTTGTGCACAGGACCGCGAAGCCTGCAAGTCTGGAAAGGGCAAAGAAAGTCGACGGATGAAACCACAAACACCGGCTGTCCTTGCTCGTTCCTTTCACGCAGCTTCCACAGTTCGAGCTCCGCAGTCGTCTGGGTGCCCAATAGCAACGCGTTCCAAAAGCAGCGACCGTCTGCGACAGTGGGAACGCGCTCCAGCTCCTGGCCGCCAAACAACACACCGGTCGAGCTGCAAGTTGGCACGGTTCGGTTAGGTCAGCCATGAGCAGTTGTGTCCAGCCTCCTCTTGGGGACCAAACACAGCGGCCGCCTGCGGGCCGGCCTGCAGAAGTAGACAGAGCGAGAGAGAAAACAAAAAGGAGAGAGAGAGAGAGAGAGTCGTGGGGGGGGGACCTTAAATCAAAATTCCAGTGCTTGCCTTGTCCTTGGCATCATCGTCTAGGCGAGCTGCCTGGCACGGCAAAAAGCAGAGAGCGAGATTCAATCAAAATTCCAGTGCTTGCCTTGTCCTTGGCGTCATCGTCTAGGCAAACTGCCTGGCACGGAAAAAGCAGAGAGCGAGATTCAATCAAAATTCCAGTGCTTGCCTTGTCCTCGCCATCTGAGTCCAGGCACACTGCCTGCCACGGCAAAAAGCAGAGAGCGAGATTCAATCAAAATTCCAGTGCTTGCCTTGTCCTTGGCATCATCGTCTAGGCAAATGGCCTGGCACGGCAAAAAGCAGAGAGCAAGATTCAATCAAAATTCCAGTGCTTGCCTTGTCCTCGCCATCTGAGTCTAGGCAAATGGCCTGGCCCCGGCACAAAGCACAGAGATGCAAGAAGGACACAGGAGAGCAAGGGTTTGAACAAGCCAGGTGGGCCATCCGGCCATCTCGGGAGGGCCAAATCTCTGGAGAGCCAAGGCTTCTCTAATCAAAACGGAGCCCA